CTCAATGAAATTTGTGAAGAAAACGGTAACATCTCTTTACAAGAACACGAAGTCCGGCAATCTTCTCTATTATAGGTAGTATTGATCTTGCCATATGATAGAAGGCTTTGTAACCTTGTATTTCTGCAGATGCAATCGCTCCGGGAAGTTCGTTAGCAAGAGTAAGCATAGAATCAGTTGTACCAGGAAGGCAGTTCTGCACTGCTCATGTTTCGTAAACGCTCGTTTCAACGATGATGGAACTGTGGGCGTGAAAGCATGTTTTGGCCATGCTGGCCACGAACTGGAGCCGGCCCTTCTACACTTATCAGATTCGCAACGGCAGTATCTCAAGTCAATGTTGGAAGGTGAAGCAGTAGTTGAGGCAGGCCTGAATATCGCTAATTAAAAGTTTCAGAGCATTCGTTGGACTACGTCATCAGAAAGTGTAGGAAGGATTTTTCGGCTAAGGACTCGAGGATGTACTTCATGACCAAGGATGACCTTTGGAACATCGTTAAGAAATACGGTCTCAGGCCTGGTTATCGAGATGCTGATGATTTGAAGTCGATTCAGTTGCGGCATGCGGAAAATAATGAAGACGATGGCATACGTCTCCTGGAAATGCCGAAAGATCCCAGTGGAAAGGGCTTCACTATGGGTGAGACTAAACTTGCGCATAACTTTGGAGAAGATGCAGTTTTATCCAATTTCAGTTATAATCACACCGCTACAATTGCATTGGTTGAAAGCGTATTCTTCTCGAGGCATTTCTATGGATGACACACATGGTGCTACAAGGTATAACCTGAAATTAGCAACAGTTGTAGTTGCTGACGAACGAGATAGAGGCCTCCCTGCAGGTTAGCTCCGGGAATCTAGAGGTTGAGATAATCTGTAATTAGCCATCTATAATTTCAGCTTTCCTGCTATCTTGTACGATGGGCACGGTAGATGTTGAAAAACTTTTCAAGGAGATCAAAAAGTTGATGCCTGAGTTTAATCCCAAGCGGATCGTTACCGATGAGGCGATGTGTTTTTATAGTGGATTCCGATCAATATTCCCGTTGTCGGCGGCAAAGCTGCATTATTGCCGGTGGCACATCAGTAAAAGTTGGGAAAAAAAGTTAGAGAACTAGTTGAAGTAAGCCTTGATTTTTTTTCTCGTATGTATGGGAAGTCATGCGAGTTTTCTCAGCCGCAACACCGCGCTCAAGTGAACATGGAATTGAAACAGCTATTGCTTGTGGGGCAGTTGGCCGATTTCCAACAGAAGTTTGCGCATGTTCTAGCCTTTTTAGATGTCGAAAGGCATCATAGCATGGCACAATACTTGAGGACTAATTATCTTGGTGAGTTTATGAAGATAATCGGGTTCCCATGAAGTATGTTTAAGCTTTCTCAGGTCGAGTAAAAAGCTGGGCATCCTTCCACGTTGATGGAGCCGTAATGGACACCACGATGCTGAGCGAGCGCTGGCATTTGCGCTTAAAAAATGAAGTTCTGCACAGAAACGCAAACCCCCGGATTGATTGCTTAGTAGAGCTACTGATACGTGCTGTCGAAGACCTTGCGGATTCAAATGAGATCAAGGTGGATTTCGTTCATAAGCTTTGGTGATGGCACCTGATTAGGACACGTTTTTGGGACCGTCGACGCCTCGCGCGAGCATCTTTTCGAACACAGCAGACGACTATAAGGCATCGCATGGCCCAAGCGCATTACCAGGAAAGATTTGAAAAAATCATGTCGATAGGCATAAGGAAATGGGAGGTCGAAGGAAAGAAGCCGGATGCAAAGTATATAGTTGAGGACAAAGGAGGATGCATATGTCCTCCATCCTTGAGTAAAAATGTGCATTGCCCGTCGTGCAATGTGTGTCCATACTCATGGAGGTGTAGCTGTTTGGACAATAGAGCTGGCATTTCATGTGTTCATCGACATGTCGTAAAAATATTCGAAGACACGAATGCAGCTTTCGGTGAAGAGCAGCGGCCACCAGTGATGCTAGAGCACGAAGAAATGGCTTTGCCCTCTACATCTAGCGATGTTGTTAGCGATGCCCAAAGCCGTATGGACATGAGGAAAAGCATACGGAATAAAATAGAAATGGTGAGTTTCCCACAAGAACAGAGTTGCACGGCTTGAACCCTTATTTTTCCAGACATACTCCGTAGTCAGTGCAAACGTGAATAGGCTTGTCAACACTTTTGAAAAATGAAACCACTTTTGAAAAAAGCCACATTATACACGGTAAGATATCCTCTGGTTCCTAGATGGACTCCCGCTTTGAGATGAACTGTTTTCAGAGGGCAGAATACAGGAGAAAGCGAATATGCTATCGCAATAACAATAAGCTATCGCAAGAGTGAGACACGTTTGGAAAAAGGTTAATGACAGTCCATGACGAAACTGTTAGTAAATCGAACTACTGTGATTTGGTTATCCGTTGCGCAAGCATAGATGGAGTTATCACACTTAGATTGCTACCGGTAATCCCTCTTCCATTTTACTTGAAGCCTAAAATTTCTCGCGAATTTGAAAGCCGAAGTATTCTTCTATATGAAATATTCTTTTATATGGAAATCTTGGACGATGAAGGCTTCAAAAGGTTGGTTTCATTTGGAAATCTTGTTGGAGATGCTCTTCAGGTTACATTTCTGTTAGTGAGCATAGACTCCGACTCACGTGATCATGTTTTGCGGCGATTTGCAGGTGATGGGGAAAAAGGTACGCTTCTTGCTTCATACTGGGTTTTGGTCCACATTGAAGGATTCTGTTATGGTTACGTTAAGGGTTTTCCCTGTCAGCTCTACTTCTGCGTCTTGTTATGGACTCTTTTCAATCACGCGCACACACACAGGGCACTTTATAATCGAGCACTACCAGGCTTCCCCTGAGATCCCTAATGCATTCGAAGTTTTAGTTTGACGACAAAAATCCGCTGTTGTTCTTATAGTGAAACACGTAACATATTGGGTAATAGCTGTGGATTGCTTGTGGCACAGGTTTACCAGAATATTCTGAGTCTATATTATACTATGTAATGTTTTGATTTGATCTATTTGATCAAGGTTTTAATAGATCATTGTAGGTCTTTGAATGCCAACTCCAAATTTGTTGGCGCGAGCGATCGAAGGCATCGAAAGTGGAGGCGTCATGGTGTAACTCATGTTGAGACCGTCAACTCACAGCGCTCACTTTACACAATAGCAGTGGTTAGTAAATAGCAGTGGTTAGTAAATAGATAGTATGTCCGTTTTTGAGTAATTCAGGCGATTTAAATTTTTCTTGTATCGGTCAAACGATTCTTCATTCCTGTTATGATGCTAGTTTATCATTTTTCAGAATGTTCATAATGTTTTCCGCACCGAGTCCCATACTATAGTCATGGTGCTTTTCAATGAGCCCTTTTTTCTATTGCCAGCAAGCTGCAAGGATATAGTCGTTGTCGACGATCAGTCAATATTCTCCCAATATTTCGTCGCATTGCTACGCTGGAGCCAGGGGACCGTATGCAGAGGTAGTCTCTTCCTTAAGTTTGGCTTTAATTGATTCTTCCACTTTTTACCCATTTTAGGTCCTTGTTTCGTGTTTATTGCATCGACGATGGGAGGTTATGAACGGTCGCTGCAAGAAGCGTTGGAGGCGAAAAGCCAATGTCAAGCACTGAATATTATTGGATTATTCCCAAACGCATAATAAATGCTTAGTGTCATGACAATGGTTTAGTTATGTTATTTGTAATTTGTTGGTTTTAATTGGTGGTTGCCATTTGCAATAAAACACAACAGTTGCTTTTGCTGATTGCATGTTCAACCTCCATACCTTACTTCAAACATAAGCAGCTGTTCAGTAGACTCATGCTCTGAGCAGGGAAACCCAGTTTAGCTTCCCCAACTTCCATACTATTGAAAGAAATATTTTCTTGCGCAGCTCTGATTGGAGGCGGGTTCGAGGTGCATTACTTCGTTTGCACCAAAACAAGTGTTGCAATATGAAGACCTCACACATTTGCCTGCACTTATTCGGCTTTGTAAATCCCGGACATAATGTGAGATCCATTTGGAAGAATGAGTATTTTAGAGTGTAGAATAAAGGATCCTGCACAACGAAAGCATATCTTACGATGAATATAGAGCTCATTGGAAATTGATTTGAGATGCTGAGCGATGCATGACTGAAGAAAAAAACCAAGAAAAACGGCCGAGAACCGAAGAAATGAGACCCTTTCCTTGCCCGTTGATTGCCGCATTGATGCGACTCCCATCGGTGCTACTCTATTTAACGCTAACGGTCCTTTGCTGAACGGCTCGAGTCTTAGACCGCGCCGATTGCGCGGCACAGAGTCATGCTAGGTCGCGGGGTATATCCTTCGATGAGAATTGCGCGTCGGTCCGCGCCCTTAGAAGGTCCGTCTGTCCCTCCGCTAGGTAAGTTTGCCCTTCTTCGACCTCCGTCCTTATTGTGGAATAACCCTTTGAGGGGAGCGGAAGAGTGGCGGTGTGGGGGTGCCAGTGTCTCCTGGCAACAGTAATGCAATTTTCTACACTTAGAGGAAGCTCCTGAGTGGGCGAACAATATGCTTGTGCAACAAAAGAACTAAGTGAGTAGTGAGTATGAAAACAAAAATGTTTGTCATTGCTTTCATTTTGGATTTACCTTGGATTTTCGACATAGCGATTATTACTACGTTTGGCCCATTTTCAGTTGTGTACAAAACAAAATACATACCTTGATTGAATATTGGAGAATTAATTTTACGTTGGATAGGCAGTACTTTATCACAGCGAAGGAAAGGCTCTGGTCCTATTCATGTCAAAATGCATACAGTCAAGGTGAGGTTCCACGATAAGGTCGGATGTCGAAAAAGAGGAAATGTTACCCAGTTATAGTTATACCCAATCAGAAATGACATTCGATATTGTGACAACGAAGAGAGCACCTAAACTGCACGGAACAAAGAACGGAGGTACTGGTCGGAATAGTCGTGCCAATGACGGAATGGTTTGCCGTTTGGATAAGGCTGGGTAGTTCCGCTGTGTTCCTTCATCCTTTGTATTCTTCCGCCTACTGCTTAATTGTACATGCTGGTCATGTAATAAACATAAC